TGCCTCCACGCTATAAATGCTACGTGCATCAGGAAGCCGGGATTTTTCAATTACATCAAAACATACTTATTTGTTTAAACACTTTAAGCTTCACTCGAATTTTAAGAGTATCTGATACAAGATACGGCAATACTATAGAAATCAAGGATCAGCTCAACGTAAAGTTGACCTTAGTGGAAGTGTTCAAACAAATTTGAATCACCTCACTGACTAGGAACACCTAAATTCACGGTGAAGAGCATCTAGCAATCATGATTATGAAAAAAAAATCTGCATCGAAAGGTGCACCCCGTCTATCAGGCTGTCTGTATCGCTATGCATGACGTTACACGTAAAGTTTTGAATGCCTAATACAAGAAATTATTCGCTTCTCTGTGGATACGCTTCCGGTTGACGTAACAACAAAGAAGTCGAACGTATCGGACTGAACCGCATAGAAGAAACTACAACGCCGCGCAGAGCAAGTGAGAAACAGACAAAGACATTAATACAATAGCAGCTGATAAGCTATTGTGATTCTATAATAGTTCATCACCATGACACTAGCAGAAACGGCGTGGCGGTAACTAGAGAGAAACTCGCTAGCTTCCGTTTTCGACTATCGTATAGGATGGGCAAAGCAGCTCTGATAAGCTGTCTGATACACAAAAACTGATGGGATCTACATTATTAATTATAGAATGCACTTAAGATTAATTAAAGGCGCTGATTGTGCCGCAGATAGTGTGGTTTTTTCATCAGTTAATAGGATACGTCGTGCGCCAAGTTTTTGGGTGTAGATATAAAACTTTTTCGTGGGAGATATATCAATGTAGATCGATAAAAGCATTAATATATACAGCGTGATATCACACTTTTAAACTGAAACAGAAACTGTTGGTGTTGATTCTAAATGTGGTTTCAGAAGTTTGAGATATGACGTATCCTCCTTTACTAGCTGCGCTACGCCCATGATACGACTGGCACCTACATAATATTGTGTTTGTATGCAGTAGTGTCAGTTCATTGTTACAACTGACAGGTCAGTATTTGATTGGTAAATAAAATTAGCGATACTCATACCTCATGCATCTGCAATCGCTACCGTACATAGATAAACGTTGTGTGTGTACGTATTTGTGTAGACGTCCAGAATTGTATAGTGAAAATACGTTTCAAGCATTTCGTTATGTTCCTTGAATGTAGATAGATGTGATCGTGCTGGAAAAATAGATTGGTGAGCGTTCGAATATATATAAAGCATGTGGTCCTCTCACCTCCTGAATGTAATGCACGGTTTTCCGTACTCTCGAAGCCGTTGGTCCGCAATTGACCTTGCAGACGAGAAGCGGTATTGTAGATCAAACGTCTTAGGCGGTGATATTGGTGTTTGTTGGTACACGGACTTCCTGGACCAATAAGCCTCACGCAAGCTTACTATTCGCCCCCTCTCAAACTGGCTGAGCTGTCCAAAATTTTATCGTTTTCTTACTCTAGCAAACCAACAATGGTTTCCTATGCATACATGGTGTCCTGAAAGTTGGGATTTTCCTTTTCAGAAACAACTACTCTGTCGTAACAAAGCTATCCGGTGGCACAACAGCGAAAAAATAGGAAATGAAAAAATACCTGCTGTTTATCGAAGACTCATGTATGTGCTCGACATATCAAACGTCTGTATAGGCTTTTAGAATGGACTCCCGAATGAATGTAGCAGACTGCTAATTCCACACACCTAGTTTGTCAACCATATTCACCTCAGTTCTATACACTAAGTATTTCATTTTACCCAAACAAAAACAGAAATGACGAAGGATCTTAAAAACGAATTTAAAATAATATGGGCAGCTCCGATATCGCTAAAAGTATGTGAGATATTTTTGAGAACAGGTGTGTAAAGTTTTTGATTATAAATGCGGCCAGGGTCTGGATTGAGTATCGAACCGTATCGAACATGCTCACGTTTAATCTGATCGAGTTGCAGGACCTTATTAGGTTTTATTTAGGTTTGATTAATTTTACGAAGCCTAACATCACGGTAATCTGAAGACTTTAGTGTATACGCTACTATCCCAGCTTTGAGGACACCCTGAATATGCAGAAGTAGACACGACTGAAACGGACATGTTTGGTTTCCATCTCTGTAACCACGACCAACCGCAGATATGGCTGTTTCGTGATAATTAGCAACTATTCAGTGCGGTATAGGTCTAGTAATCCTGGCGCAAGCAAAACAGAGACGGTAAGCAAACATGTCCATTTCAATTGTAAATCGTATTTAATTTTTATCAGTTATACTGGAGAAAACAGAAGGGCTGTTCCGAAAACCCGAATTAAGTTCATAATGAGTGTCGCCTTGCAGCATTAGAGAATCCCATAGGACTATGATGTCGTAACAGCAACTTCTGAAACCCCCGGGAGCTCCATTCAAAATGGAAACAATCGGCGACTAGTGAAAGACAAGACTTTTCCATTATCAAGGCGGATTTTCTTTGCTGTGTAGTGTCTTTGTAATGAGCTGAGTTTCCTTTCTCAAAGGCTTTCATCGCCTTTTTCCAGCAAATGCGAATTAATGGTATTAATATTCATCTTGCTTTGATCGTAATTGCGATGCAGTTTGGTTAGCCCGCAGTCGTTTATTTTGTCAGCCTGAAACCACAATAGACGCTTTATGCTTCAAATTGGACATGTAAAACGTTTCATTCGTTTTAGTTAGAAGCCAAGCCTATATGGTCGCATTGCAGATCATTATACAGTGGAATCCGTATACTATACCTATACGTGCGTTGGAAAGAGATTGAAGCACCTCGTCGTCTAGCCGAGTTACGAGGCCACGGCTTGCCGTGTTGCCATCGACGCGCTCTTTCTAATATACATATTGTTCGCCTCTCTCTCGTACACATTACGACGTCAACCAGATTTGAATCGCTATAATTCAGTACCGTTGTAACTAAATGATTTTTTTGTAGATAGCTTCAGAAAGTAAGGGTATCACTAATATTCCTATTCCTTGTGTTTAGTTGATTTAAGTTGCTAGCTACATCGTGCTAAATTTTAAGCAAACATCGTTGATGTTTAGTTGCTAACACCTTATCGTCGCCCATACTGCAAACATCTGATTTTATGCAAATTTTCAGTAGAAGCAAAATGAATATCGACAGTTGTATGATTCCATATATCTTTCCTACTTTAGATAATATGATCATGATTTCTTCCAATAACATAGCTAAAAAGTGTGTTCATAATCTTCTAAGCAGTACGTAGAGAAAATGAAGATCACACTCTCAGCTAAGCATATTATATTTGATTTCTTTTTCCGATACGCCTCTTTGCAGTAACCTTGACAATTACAATAGTCAAGCGGTTTGAAGATACGCCTATGTCTCCATATGGAATAAAATCACTTTATTTTCAGTAAATGATACTCAAGGCAACTCAAGGATAATATAGAACAAAAATAAGAAGATGACTTCAAACAAAAACATATTGCCCTGGCAAAGTGAGGTCAAATCATATTTTTTGTTTGTGATTTTTCCTAGTTCTGTATCAGAAGGTCATATGTTAGTTACATGTGCTAGTCACTACTGAGAGAGTAGCAAAAAACTGACACCGCATGAAGGCGTATCTTCACTTACGCCTACTTGCGGTGTATTGTTTCACTTCTGAGAGATACGAAGTTTAGTTTTATGCTGTTGTCTTTATGAGCGAACTACTTAGAGTTACGCCACTTTGCAGGTTTGACGATAATGTGCTATACCTTGTTGATTTGTACTCGAATTTGATTTTTTGTTAGATACGCCTGTCTGCGGTATGGACGACGTTGTGTGTGAGTTTCGATAAGTTTGCTTTGTTCACTATATGATATAGCGGGGCTATATACAGGGTGACTTCTAAGTTGAGTCATTTATTTTAACAGTGAGTAGATCTGATCAAAAGAAATGTTTTTTTCCTTTAACATTTTTCTGGTAAAATTAAAGTAACAAAGTTATAGCCCTTTAGAAGTTTGAGTACCGCCCTGTCTCAATAATAATATTATGTACTCGTGTTTGGCGACAACGGATATAATCCGCATCGGTTCATCGCATCGGAAACAAAAAAGCGAAAGAATTTGAAACGCTTATCACGATGTTTTTAGTTGGATTCAGTCGGTAACGCGTGAGTGAATAGTGGTGTTTGTTGCGTGACTCAAACGAAATAAAAAATGGCATATGTTTACGAAAATGCTGAACTTGTGGACATGATATTTACGGGGGGGGGGAGTCTTTACAAAATGGGTTTCCCAATCGAGTGCAACCCACCCCTCGTGCCTTTGTTAATGTAGAATGTAGTACAAAGGGCTCGTGAATCAGGTGACTTAAGACCTCACAGGGGATGCCGGTGCTCCAAGACCGCACGATCAAATACAGGTCCGCACTGAAATACTTGTCGGGAGGATACTTTATAAAACAAGGTAACATTTTTTTTTTAATTTTTTTTTATTTTTACACACATATTTTGGTTTATCTTCCTTCTACAATCACTATCTGAAAATTAATGACTCAACTTCAAAGTATAATGTCACAATAACTGAATTTTGACATAATTAATTTTTCATACAGTTTCAGGTTTAGTGACGTACACATTATTTGCCTATTCAGATAAAATTGCTTCTAAATACAGTATAATGCATTACATCAATGAATTCACATGCTTTTTATATATCAGTTCTGTGTCAGTCCAAAGTCCCAAGTTTTCATCCTCACTCATTATAGGAAGCCGTTTATTTATCGTAGACCTTATGGCCCGTTCACACATGCTCTCCGTTTTACTGGTCCGTTTTATCGGATACGTTTTTTTTCGTCAGTGGCGTATATAGTTGTATGAGCGACTTCTCACATGGCACAGTATACTGTATACGTATACAGTAAAAAATACTGTTCCGTTAAAATATTACATTCCGTTTTGTCATCGAATACTGGAGGACGGAACAGTAAAAATATACGGATACGTAGAATTTTAACGGAAAGATACTGTGTACTTGGCGGGCGGTGTGTGCGGGGTGTAGGAGGGGGAGTGATACGACAGGTATTGACTCGCATTTTATATTGTACATTCATAGAGAACGCGCGCGTGCATTGTGTGTAATAATTATTATAATCACTGACCAACCATGTCAACCAAGGAGTGGGAAAGTTAATAGACAAGGAAATTTTAATTAGTTTCGTGGAAGATAGGTCAGTCCTTTGGGACAAGACGCTGGATAAATACAAAGACAATACTGCAAGTATTGCAGGTTGCCACGAAATATGCGTTATTCTAATGGAGGATTTTGAGGCAATGGAACAAAGACAAAGACTAGAGTTCGGTAAGTGTCTGTTTTATTATTTAATTACATTCTAAATAGCTTCATCCTGCCATGGATCTGATCCAGCTTCGGACATGAAATAGTTCACGAATTCTGTTCGAACTAAATTGGCAGTATTACCACCTCGTGTTCTTACTTCATGGGGTAGGTTTTCGTAACTAAATTTTTCAGATACGTTATTATCACTGTTTGAGCCCTCCTTGTCCCTTATAAAGTTGTATAGAATAGTACATGCCTTAACAGTCCATGCAGCTGTTATTTTATCGATGTCTAGAGGCCGATGGAATATTCTCCACTTATTAGCTAAGATACCGAAGGCACATTCAACGTGTCTCCTAGCTCTAGTCAAACGATAGTTGAATATTTGCTTATTTTTGTCCAGATGCCAAACGGCCTTAGTAAATTTTCATGTAATCCGAAACCTTCGTCTCCAATGACCACATAAGGAACTCTCGTTTCTGAGTCTCTTGTTAACGTGCATGGTGCTGGTATTTGAATACTGTCATCTAGCATCATTTTCCAAAATTGTCTCCTTGAACATTGATGAATCGCATTCTTTTCCATAAGATCCGACACTGACGTATACAAAGCGATAGTCGGAGTCTACGATCGCTAATAATATGATGGAAAAAAAATCCTTGTAATTGATATACAGTGAACAGCTATTTAGTGGTTTTTTAAGTCGGATATGTTTTCCGTTGACAGCTCCGAGACAGTGGGGAACATTAGCTTTTTTGTTAAATCCACTTGCTATCTGTTCCCATTCGTCGACTGATGTAGGAAGTCGCATAAATTTTTCACTTAAATTGCTCCATATGCATCTTGAAACTTCTTTAATAATGTCGCTAACAGTCGATGCATCAACGCGATAGGTGTAATGAAGATCTTTAAATGAACACCCGGATGCTGCATACCTGAAAATAAAATTGATTGTTTTATTACTTGTTTTAGAAAAACTTGTTATGAAAAAGTGGAGACAGATGAGAGATGCCTGGGTGAGAACACTAAATGATAAAAAGAATTGCAAGACGTCTGGTTCCGCTGTCTCAAACACGAAGCCCTACAAATACCATAATCAGATCTTGTTTTTGAAAAAAATAGTTGCTGCTGGTGAAACGCACGAAAGCGTCTCTGCTAAACAGACTGAAGAACACACCGAAGATGACACCACGACATCGAATGAACCTACTCGTACAAATGAAAATGACAGTGTGACTACAATGACACAACTTGACAATGACAGTCAAAAGGACAAACAAAATCTAGCCCCCCCGCCAAAACGCAGAGCACCAGCGAAAAGAAATTTTAATGAAATCGATGCCAAAATGATGTCCTACATTGCCTATCAGATAAAACCGAAGCAAATTGAGCAGGATGTTCGCAATTTATCGTTCTTCAAAGGTATTTTGCCGTCCTTGGCATTGCTTGATGATGACCAAACTTTGGAATTCCAGTCAGGGGTGATAAACCTATTACAAAATATTAAACATAGGAGAGTTGGCCAGTCAACTTATGACTGGTCGGCCTATACACAAACATCTGGTGCTAGTCACTATCAATCTCAGGGCTGTTTTAGCAGACCACGGCCTACTGATACTGCACTATCGCCAGTACAATCTGTATACAGTGATGCTAGCAGATCACAGCCTACTGATAGTGCACTATCGCCAGTACAATATGTATACAGTGATGCTACGTTAGATCTGTCTGAGTTTTAAAAATAAAAGTACGTACCTACGTAAAAATATCGCTAGTTTTTCTTCTGGGCAGATAATTTTCCTCCAACGAGTATCTTGCTTTTTTAAATCCTTTTCCAATAGTTTAAGAAGTTCATCAAAAGTCGACATTGACATACGAAAGCAATTGAAAAATTTCGATTCACCTGGTAACTGACTCATAAGTAAACTGTAAGCACCCTCTCTAGATCTTTGGGCCATAAGTGGATGCTGCCAATAACGTCGAATCTTCCTTCTCCGACGATAGTACCAATACAACGCGACAGCGTCCATCCTTGTAGAATAGCGGCGGTATACTGCGAGTTTTCTGTTCACACATCGCATCCAGTAATGTCGGGTTTGTTGAACGTTATATGGTGCCTATGTGTGAACAGAGCATAAATTTATAACGTATCCGTTAAAAACGCACCAGTAAAACGGACTTCCATGTGTGAACGGGTCGTTACGGTTAATTTCCGTTTCGATCGATGTTGTTTTGATTTTTGGGCCGAAAGCCATAACTGAAGATTTATATGGATTAATTTTTAGGTTATACGAGCACGAGATGTCTAGTAGCCTTGTTAAATCTGCATTAATTAATGCGTTCGCCATTTTAAAATCTTTGTGTTTAAACTTGAGTATCATCGGCGTGGTGATGGATTGTAGAATTATGAACATATTCATGGTAATCTGATATATGCAGAGAAAAGTAAAAAACCCAATATGGAACCCTAAGGAACACCGTACTTCAAAGCAATTGATTCCGACATGTTTGGAGCTGATAGGCCCTTTTAATTTCTATTTGGCAAATAACAGCGTATCAACATGAATGCAGTGTATCAAAATTTCAGAATCTATCATATCGGAAGCTTTTGTGTAATCTGGTAGAACCAAACAAGTGATATTTCCTTGATCAAGGCCTCTTTATTATTGAAAATATACTCGAAGGTCTGTCTGTCTGATCTTTATGTCCCGTTCCAGAACCTTTCAAAATGCGGGAAGTAAGCTGACTGGTCTAAGTTACAAATACAGTATACTTGCTCCTTCTACCTAGCTTAAATTCGTTGAGCCAACCAGAGATATCTGGGTGCCTATTTGCTAGACAATGTCTCAGTTATCTCGCTGGTGAAGCTTGAGTAACATGTTTGTAAACTCCATGTATGAGTATCGTGTACCTACCAGAAATCGTATATGCCAGCAATGTATATGTACATATCGTCCCAAGATAGATTCGATTTCTTTCCACTTTGTTGATCAAATATACCTTCAAAGAGCAAAGAGGCAGCTAGGATGTGGAGAGCGCTGTCAGTTGAGTAAATGTTTTCTCAGCTTCGCTGAAGCTGACCGACAGTTGAAGCTGCAAGCTGCAAGTGCGCATCGATTAGAGTTAATTAAGAAACGCGGTGGAGATAACATGTGGGGGATCATTTGCATCACATACGATGGCAGACTCCAAGCCAATCTGGTTTGGATAGTTTTTAGAACTTTATCGAAAGACTAAACTTATTGTTGGTGCTTTGTCTAACACTCCAATTTTCGTTACATTGTAGAGTAGGTTAAACCATCGGAATTTTCATCCCGATTGTGTCTTAAAATTGGTACAATTTATAGGAATAGTCCCCCTGCCTGGAAAAATTTGCTACATTCGCTCTTCAAAAAGTTTTGGGGACAGGTACACTTTCGTTAGGCTGTTCTACGCTGTTAGGATGTGCTAGTCTTTCGGATACCGAAGCAGGCGCCGAGGCAAAGGCCTAAATACCGGGGCACCGCGGCTGCTGTAAGGGGCTAAGAACAGTTTGCTAATCCGATTTTTGAACCGACCAAGGCTATAGTAGAACTTGGAAAAGCGTCCTTGAGCCAATTGTTTGACAATCTAGACATCTTAGGGACAAAGGAGCGGACGTACCGGCCAATTCTGGATGTACGAAGTTCGACGCGGTTAAACTGGAAGGTCCCTGCCAGGCTCATGTTGCTGCAGCATCGTGAAGGAAAGCTCTGTGGGACAAAGCCCTTTGATATAGCGGTAGAAGAGAGCCAGATCGCTGAAAGTGCAGAAGGGTCCCGAGACTTTCCGTTAAAGAAGAGTCAACGGTCAGTCGGATAGCTCTTGTTTGAACACCATCGAGTATGTGAGCAGTACTTGAAGCTAGGCCTTATCTGGACATTCTACAAAGTGAGGAGGTTGCAGACATGATCTCAGTTTTACGCCAAGATTCACAAAACTCTCCTAAAGTCACCGCTTCCTACTTCTAGTCTAAAAATTAAACTTATAAATCACTCAACCGCCAAGGTTAATTCAAAAATGCTTTTATTGCTTCAAAAGCATTTTTTCGTCTACTTTCTGCCCGACAGAAACACATTGCATAAATTAACGCTATTCAAAATTAATCCAATAAAACCTTGCTTGGTTGCCTGGCTAAAGTTCACGAAGGTTGACTTTAAAGCCTGTTGGAATCCGGTGACTTGTTTCATTTAGAAGATAATGCGAGGGTAAGAGAATAAATCACGTTATTGTTTGAAGCAGCGTGGCTCTGAAATTTGATTAAATCCAGAACTTAACACTTAAATTAATACGATTATGAATACTCAAAATGTGGAAAGCCGCGCCACCGCCGTCGAATTAAATCTGTTCCATTTTCGACTTAATTGAACGCAAAAACGGGCAAATAGCTTTGGAGCATGTAAAGATTAATTTGATCAACAACTGAATAGAGACCGTCGTGCTCTCTATTTTAGTCTGAGAATGATAATACCAACGAATTGGAATAGATTAGAAGAAACGGAGGCTATAATGACACTGCATTATTTATCGCCAAAATTGTGTAGTTTTAATATCTAGTTTTGGCCAAATTGATTACCATTGCCTACCAAACTGACAAACCAATGCAGTACATCGGTGTGCATTCTTTCCTCTGGGAAGGATATTCAACCATCCATTCGTAATCGGTATGTCGTAAAGCAAGGCACAAATACTAGTTGTATTGTAATGCTCGGTATTTAATAAACAGGAATACATTGAATGAGGCGAAGAAACGAAAGTAGATACTTAATAACGTTCCAGAGAAGAACAATTCTGCTCAATGGTACAATATATGATTTTGGAAAATATCTTTGCATTATTCTTATTCGAGTTTTCTAAATAGTTGTCGTGATCCGAGCAGATTCTTGGCTAAGAGGCAATAAAGTGAAATTGTAAAGCCACTACATATTTGAGTCATTAATTTTACGAGCATGTAGAACTCGTCAAAAGAAGTTGACGTACCAAAAATCGCCTATATAAGAGCTGCATAATAAGAGAGTTAGTTTACATTATTAAAAATTATTTAAAAAAAATCATTATCAAAATTGTTCCCATTTGTTCGATTAACGTAAAATCTTGATCGGCAAGTCCACGACTCTTACAGACACGCTTCGAAAATAAAATCCTGTTGTCCGCGAATTAAATCGCATTTTCAGTCTGCTGTTGAAGCCAAGAAATGGGTCCATTGCGTCCTACCCATCTGATCGGAAGCTCATTATTGTTCATGAATTTCTCGTCGAAAATATGGTGGAACCCTACATATTATGTCCCACATTTAGAGGAATATCGTCTAATAATTGTGGCAGATTGTGACGAAGAAAATCTTAATAAATTTCACCGGTTAGTCGAGATGGAAAAAGTAAGGTCCCAGAAGCATGGCATTTAGCATGCCGGCGCAAACATTTAATGAAAATCCATGTTGAGGTTGACTTCTTTTTACATCATGCGGATTTTCTACTGCCCAAACATGATTGTTGTGGAAATTGTGCATTCCAAGTCACTGACAAAATGAAACTCTTCTAGGATGATCTTCAGGTTGTGATTCATATACCCGTTGATAATGATAAGGATAACACTATTTTTTTCGTATTGTCTTCCACACTTTACTATGAGAAACTTCAACTTGAGCTGCAATGGCTCTAGTACTCATTGTTGGGTCATCTTCGACCATTTCTAAAATGTCTTCCTCAATTTGCAACATTGTAGGTTGAGCAGGTCTTCCAGCGTGACCTCCTCGCTGTTCTTTTGACTATCCTTTGTCAGGAAGTCTGATAACTAATTTACAAACATCCGTGGGGCCGGATGATTTCTGAAAGGAAACCTTTCCGCATACAACCTGCATGCTGTGGCTGCATTTTACTGACACTCTTCCTATGTTAGTCCACTAGTTGATCGTTTTCGTAAACATGGACCATTTCTTCGCACAAAATCATCCGACAAACGAAAGTAAACGCACTATTAAGAGAGTGATACGACTGATCGAACCAAACACGCGTACTGAAAACCACACAATAACACAAATGTTTGCCAAATTTAGATAAATGATAAGAGTAGTAAATAAAAAGCGATAAGATTTTACACGGCAGTAGTCAAAAATTTTTAAAAATCTGTGTGATATCATTATTTTGTTAATTTTTTAATCCTTTATTAAGCAACTTTTATAGATGGATTTTTGGTATATCAACTGCTTTTGCAAGCAGTTAAAATAAATGACTCAACATTGTAAACATCCTGTATAACACTGAAGTACCTTTACTGAGCACTTTTAGATTCAAAATTGAAAATATAGTTAAATTTCAGGTTAGTTCAGTTAGGTCAAGGTTTCGTTTGACCTTTTTCAGTATCCATCAAAAGCTTTATATTTTGCATTCTTTAATGTTGCTGTTAGGTATATAACTCTGTTAACAAACCTTGGATCGCAACTGAGCGCTCAAAGAAACAATAAGTGGAATAAATTAAATCAAAGTTACCTCACAACTGTTCAGGTAAACCCCAAGGACTATAATATACACTTATAATTTAAAATATTTTTCCATGTTCGTCAAATGTCTGGAACACTACGATTATATGGAACTCAGTTATTTTATCTGAGTTCACAGAAAAGTATGGATTTGATGTGAAATGTCAACAACTGTTAAACTGACGGCTTAAGCCTGACCGACTTGCTGAATTAACTTGCATACCAACTACTGACTACATAATTTTGGTTTGAGCC